GCAGGTCAGGATCATCTCTTTTAATAGGCCACAGTCTGCTGATTGGACTCAGAAAGTGGAAACCGATCCAATTGACTCCTTTACTGGACATCTGTGAAAAAGAGCTTCATAGCTCATCGGATTTATCCAGGATGAATAAAGATTCTGATTAAACAAATGTTTCTGCAAGATTGTCGGACAAGACGGCACATAGTCTCAAGGCACTACATGTAATTATACTTTAATGCTGGTGATGCATAGATCTTCATTGATGTAAATCGTGGAGGCTGATTTGCTACTTAGCAATTATGACTGGAGCAAACTTTAGTGCATCTGCGTAAATTGAATATTTTCATAAATTTACCGTGTGCTGCCAAGTCAATTATTAAAGATGTTGTAATATTACAAGTGTGATATAGGAATCTCTAAATAATAAAAGAAAATCCCCAAATAAACGACACATTTTTATCCTATACACCATCTCGGTGTAACTATAAACTGAACTATTTTTTTATTAAAAAAATAGTTTTATTTTACCATCTAAGGTCCACTGAGCTGTTTTGCTCTTTTTCAGAAGCGACCTGGCCACAAGTAATAGCTCTACAATGTAGCTAACCACGTGGAAATGTATAGCAGCAGACAAATACTCTAAATGCGTGTTGATTCTAAATGTGGAGTGAAAAACTGCAGGACCCGGAGACAAATCGACACCACCACGGGGAAAACATGCAAACTCCAAATATACAGCAGCAGGCGTCAAGGTCGGGATTGAACCCACGACCTCCTGCATACCAGGCGAGGGAGATCTCCACCCCGCGGCACCCATACACAGCAATACAACAATGGAGAGAGTGTCCAGTGAGAATGAGATCGGTGTGAGTGGCGAGGTAATTGTTAGAAAGTCAGATACAAATGCCAAGGTATTCACACGCGTTTTCTTTTTTTTAAAGCAGAAAATGGTACAATGAAAAATGCCAAGTTTTGGATTCTATAAGACTATTTTAAAACTTCATTCACAGCGGGAAGAATAAGATCGTCCTTCATTCAATCAATGCAAGTCAGCAAAGTTACATTGTTTTCACAGCTATATTTCATTGAAAGCCAGAAAACATGTTTATAGCAAAAGGTAATTGCACGTGATTTGGCTCAAGCTGAAAACGGGGCAGCCCTACTTATTGAAAACGACTGCCAAGGGGACACATTGGCACTGTCACGCCTGGCAAGTCACAGTGGCAAAGTGGGTGGCACCTGGGGGGTGGGGGGGTTGACGCAGCAGCAATGAAATGTTTTGAAGAAGCAGCGGGGAAGCCCCCCAAATGGCAAGAGTGATGAACGCGCAAGAACGGCGTGCGATGTGTGCCGTGTGAACTCAACGCCACGGGCAACAAGCAGAATTGCGTAATATCTCTACCCCCCGGCTAAATCCTTCCCGTCTGTTGATTACAGATTACTGCGTAAACTATACAACGCTCCGGTGAAACCACTGAATGGTCGTCATGGGCATCAGCAGATGGCCACGTGCTCTGTTATTTGTTCCAATTTGCAGCCGCAGGTGGAATTCTCCTTTACGTCCCACTGATGGAGGAGGAAATCTGTGCGTGGGCCGTGCGACAGTTGACCGCGGTCAAAAGTTTACGTTAAAGCGAGAGGCTGGGGAGGGGTTTGGTTGGGTCGCCAGTGAGGTGAACAGCTATGATACTAAACTAAACTAAAGTTTTTATTTTACCAGGTGAGGCGCACTGAGCTATGTAGCTCTTTTTAAGAAGCGACCTGGCCACAAATGATAGCTCAACAAAGTGGCTTACATTGTGGAAATTTGTAGCAGCCAAATACTGTAAACGCATGTTTCTGAATGTGGAGGGAAAAACCAGAGGACCCAGGGAAAAATTGACACGACCACGGGGAGACTATGCAAACTCCGAATATACAGGCAGGATCGAAATCGCGACCTCCTGTACACCAGGCGAGGTAGTTAACCTTGTCGCCACCCTGGTGCCACATATTCAATGACTGAAATGTGTTCATACAATTTTGAATGATAATATTTTCTGACAAATGTGATATGTCAAATTATATAAAACCACAATTTAGTTAACAATACCAACGACATAAAAGAACATTATTGTTGGCCAGCTAAGACATTTCACAAGTTCTGTACCCTGCTAGGGAAACACATTTTATCACCTGCCACCAAAACACCCAGGTCTGCGTGCACACTTGTGATTTGCTCACATGTACGTTCAAGTGAATGTCCACGCGTGCATGCGGGGCACGAAGGTGCATTTCGTGTGCGAGCGTGCGTGCTGTGCATTGCCGTGTTTGCGCACTCGGGCACGACCGTGAGCACAGCTTTGAAAACCACTCGATGCTCTCTTCAGATATCAACATCGCTCTGGTTACACGATGAGCCTTCAGCCTCAAGCATTTTGAGAGGCCCCTTAGGCGCTGCTCCTCCCCCGCAAACTCTTCCAAAACTAATCTGGACCCTGCGATTCATGCGGTGCTTTCTGGTGTAACAGCACGCACACAACTTTTCCCACCACACACACACACACGCAAGCCCCAGCCTGCACGCTGCTGCTGCTTGCTGCACACGGGCATGCGGCACGAACTCGCATTGTATTTTGATGAGCAACAAAAAATGCTTCCCCGTATACTTACGGCTTTAACAGAACTCCGAGCGCAAATCCCTTTAGATTTCCCCCCGCCGAGAGCCACGGCTGTCAAGCGCAACTTCGCTTTTACTCCCTTGTGCCTCCAACAGCTGCGCCGGGCAGCGTGGGCCACTCGCACCCCCCGCCCTTGGGGACGCCGTGAGCGAGCGAGCGAGCGCCGCCAACTCTCTCCGGTCACAGCGACGGCCGTTCCACGCGACGCGAAGACGCGGACGTGAGAACGCGCGGATCAACTTACCGCAGCTGCCGAAAACCCCGAGCGCCGAAACTTTTCGCAAACCCCTCCGGCTAATTGCGGGGCTCTATGATTAATTAGGCCGAGCAACGAACTATTTGGCCGAGCGTTCAATCAGAGCAGGCATCTTATTGCCCGCATCGATAATAACGCTGTTGTTGTTATACAAAGCGAAAACACAACGCATGATATTAAATCTGCCGCGGAGATGGAAGCCTCATTAAATGCTCTTGCCAATATGAGGAAAGCACACGTGTTCAGTGGACTTGAAGACTAACAGCATCATCACCACCACTAATTGTACGGCTACACTACATATATAAAGCCCAAAGTTAAATTCAAATATTAGCATAAATATGGTAAATGCCGTACAAATTGATACAAAAATATCGTTAGGATTCCATAACAGGATGTATTTTACGCAATTATGTGTCAGAAGGCCTCAATAAATAATCTAAGACGGCTTTCGCCTGATTGCGCTGCAGCGAACCAATAATTATGCAGATTAGTACCAATGTCTGACATGGCTATTGTTCACAATTGTGCCCAATAAAAAAATCAAGCGGAATGCATCACATGTACAATATCATTATAGACGTCGTACGCCACTCTGCATTAGGAATGGCAATCGCTCAGAGGTAACCGTGATTGAATGAATCATCAGGCCCGTAATTCGATTCAATGTTCTTATTTAACAATCGGGTAAACGTAGCAGCCTCCAGTGCCCGAAGCTTCGTGGAAACCCGTTGTGTACCCCAAGTACACATTGAAAAACAATGCTTCTGACACAAGGCAGTGCATCGTCTGAAGGGGGGGGGGCGGGTTGGAGATTTTTTCCCTTCAGTTCTCAGTTGGAGACTGAACCCAAAATTTGAAGAGGGGGGGGCCTGCTGACTCTGCGCCGGATAAAATTGGCAATGACTTCCCTCGAGCAAGCGGCGTACAAATGTTGAACAGATGACAGTGGCGTAACTGCAGTCACGGAGAAAAGGTTGCCACGAATGTGGCATGTTTCACAAAATGTGCGCATGTGACAAGTTGTAGTTACTGTATTACCCTTATGATGTAATGCAGGATAGATGGATGACGGTAGGTTACCGAGACGGGCATTGGAGTGGTACCTATAGGCTAGGCCTAACGTCAGATGCTTGAAGACTGTGAGGGCAGACCCCAAGGACAGGTGTCCACTTTGCAACAGCTGCAGGATCTAGCAGTGGCGGGGGACGCAGTGGCATCACCAGCATGATGAACGTTTGACCTTGACCTTGACCCAAGAGTAAAAATGTCCTCATGTGTGTGGACAACTTTTGTCATCGACAACGATGTCACAAAACCAATTCCAAACATAACTTTCCCTCGACTCAGCTATACCAAGCTCAACGTGAACAGAAGTGCTGTCAGTGATGGGCAAAGCCAGCATGAAAAACTATCAGGCCGTGTTCTATGCTGTGGGGAAGATCAAGAGGCCTATTGATTCACTCACGATGAACAAGCCTGCAGTGTTGTTTGACTGGAATTCCAAACAGAATATGACGTAATCGGGCTTTTACCCTGTCACTAGTGTGGAGAGCACGTACGTTTTTAGTGATAAAGAAACAAACCACAACATATTTAGGTCCTACTCAAAATGACTAGAATTCTTAAAAATTAAGGACAAATATAAAATCGCCTTTTCCAGGACTGTATTTTATGTAGAAAACATTTTAACATTTAAATGAAACTAAGAAAAAAATAAAACAAGAAAAAAAACCCGTCAATCAAAAGCAAAACGATGTCAGATGTTCCATGGCCACGTTCCATTTCATGTGAAGCCAGAACCTTTGAAGTAGGAACCAATTCCAAATCGGAGCCGCAAACGGAGGAACCATGTGTCCCGCACAACAAGCACCAGAAGAGGCGGCGCTACTACGACCGCTTCGTGGCAACGTGAACGCCAAGACACGACCGCACGCCGACCTCCGGTTCCTGTCATTTCTGTAAGCCGAGTTACGAGCGAGACGGCAAACAAAACCGCAACCGAAGGCCACGTCGCTCCCGCTTCACCCAACCACCCCGGGGGGGAGTCGGCACCGCGCGCGACGCGTCCACCGAGTGGGAGGGAAAACACCGACCTCGTATCGCGGCTGCTCGTTTCGTCCTCGCACGAAGAAGAACCCTCCGCCCTGCGGGAATCGCAGCTCCCCCGGCGGCCGCTCCAGCGTCGCCTTCTGCTCGGAGGCTTCGGCCTCGCAGTCGAGGAGCGAGGCCTCGGAGCCGCGGAGGCGCAGGGCGAAGCGCGTCAGCTGCTTCGCGGGCACAGGCAGCCGGAATGTGGCCACGGGAGTCGTGCGGCGCTCCTGCGACGAGGTGAGGTGCAGCTGCAGCTCTTCGCGCTCGGGAGACACGCTCACGCCGAGGTAGACCGTCTGCTTCAAGGCGTCCATCACCGAGAAGATGAAGCCGCCCTGTGGAGCCGCGCACAGCACGCACGCGCGCGCGCCCCCCGGGATCAGCTCGCAACCGTCTCCCGCAACAAGTTCACGCGTTCCCGCAGGCTCATGGGCAGGCTTCACTGAGAGGCGAAGGAAGGCCGCGGGCATATGGGGACGTGGGTTTGCAGGCAGGCAAACAGACATACGAGCACGTGGAATCTTTTATAGACAAGCAGTCATGTGTAGGGAGATTGCCGATCGTCGACACAAGTAAGCTGACACCCATGCCGGGCGAAAAGATGGACATACAGACAGGGAAACAAGACAAAGTTCCTCCTTATAGCTTCAACAGGCTTTTGGGGCAAGTGCCGTTAGCGAGCACAGGCAAACAAACAGCTACGTAGACAAGCAGACTCAGAGATATTTGAGCTAGCGAGTAGACGTTCGGGAAGGCGTGCGTGTTTAGACGGGCGTACGGGAACGGGTACGGTGGGCACAAGCAAGGGGTAGGAGCGCTCAATGCCTGGTGGCGCGTCGGCACCTGGCTGGTGGCAGGGGTGATGGTGACCAAGATGGAGAAGTCTGCGGGCAGAGGCTTGGTGAAGAAGCCCTGGAATCGCTTGGCCACTTCGGCTCCGCGGTGGAAGTAGAAGGCCGAGCGGTCATCCTGCCCAGCGACTACCGACACCGACTTGGGCGTCGGGTCTCCAATGAGCCTCAGGAGGTCGATCCCGTGGGCCGAAGAAGCGTCGTCTGCACGGACACGCACGGGGCAGGGGAACGGTCAATGAGATGGAATGGGCAAGTGGCGGCAGGTGGTGACCGATGCGTTTAAAAATGACCTTTAGGCAGTTTTAAATCGCGCATTGATTGACATTCAAACGTGTCAAGTGGATGAGACAATGCACTTGATAGAATGGTTAGTCAACACATCGAACAAGTAAACTGTTCAGACGTTGTGCAGACAACTGGTTACAAGGATGAGAACAATCTGTAACGATCAAAGGAAACAGCTATGGGTCCAACAGCTTCTTTGGACATTGGACAACCAGCAATCAACGCGCCTCCGATTAGCACAGTTGGCTGTGTACGATGCGAAAGTTGTTCAGCGTAAATATATCAACGTGCATTTGTATGAAGAGCAACGCATCCGTTGCTCTCTCCCATAGAATAAAACCAATGTGACAGCAGCTATGTGAATAGTCGTTTTTTCTCGTGCATCCCATTCCCATGTCCTGCACTGTGACACAGGAAAGCATCACTGAGCCTCAAGACTTTTTGCAGTCGGGTCATGCCAAACATTCGCGATGTTGATGCCGTGTGTAATCCCAATTGAGTAGTTTGAAATAAATCTTTCAGCATTAAGGAGGTTTGGCTAAAAGCAGTTACCATTGTATAACCCCACTAAACTCAGCCAAAAAACCCCCTAAACTCAGCCAAAACCCCCCTAAACTCAGCCAAAAGCCCCCTAAACTCAGCCAAAACCCCCCTAAACTCAGCCAAAACCCCCCTAAACTCAGCCAAAACCCCCCTAAACTCAGCCAAAACCCCCCTAAACTCAGCCAAAAGCCCCTAAACTCAGCCAAAACCCCCTAAACTCAGCCAAAACCGCCCTAAACTCAGCCAAAACCCCTAACTCAGCCAAAAGCCCCCTAAACTCAGCCAAAAGCCCCCTAAACTCAGCCAAAACCCCCCCTAAAACTCAGCCAAAAACCCCCTAAACTCAGCCAAAACCTCCCCTAAACTCAGCCAAAAAACCCCCCTAAAACTCAGCCAAAAACCCCCTAACTCAGCCAAAACCCCCTAAACTCAGCCAAAACCCCCTAAACTCAGCCAAAACCCCCCTAAAACTCAGCCAAAACCCCCTAAACTCACCAAAACCCCCTAAACTCAGCCAAAAACCCCCCCTAACTCAGACAAAACCCCCCTAACTCAGCCAAAACCCCCTAAACTCAGCCAAAACCCCCCTAAAACTCAGCCAAACCCCCCTAACTCAGCCAAAAACCCCCCTAAAACTCAGCCAAAACCCCCCTAAACTCAGCCAAACCCCCTAAACTCAGCCAAAACCCCCTAAAACTCAGCCAAAACCCCCCGAACTCAGGCCAAAAAGCCGCCCTAACTCAGCCAAAAGCCCCCTAAACTCAGTCCAAAAGCCCCCTAAAACTCAGCCAAAACCCCCTAAACTCAGCCAAACCCCCTAAACTCAGCCAAAACCCCCCTAAACTCAGCCAAAACCCCCCTAAACTCAGCCAAAACCCCCCTAAACTCAGCCAAAACCCCCCTAAACTCAGCCAAAACCCCCCTAAACTCAGCCAAAACCCCCCTAAACTCATCCAAAGCCCCTAAACTCAGCAAAAAACCCCCCTAAAACTCAGCCAAAACCCCCCTAAACTCAGCCAAAACCCCCTAAACTCAGCCAAAACCCCCTAAACTCAGCCAAAAACCCCCCTAAACTCATCAAAACCCCCCTAAACTCAGCCAAAACCCCCCCTAAACCTCAGCCAAAACCCCCCTAAACTCAGCCAAAACCCCCCTAAAACTCAGCCAAACCCCCTAAACTCAGCCAAAACCCCCTAAACTCAGCCAAACCCCTCTCTAAACTCAGCCAAAACCCCCCTAAACTCAGCCAAAACCCCCTAAACTCAGCCAAAACCCCCTAAACTCAGCCAAAACCCCCTAAACTCAGCCAAAGCCCCCTAAACTCATCCAAAAGCCCCTAAACTCAGCCAAAACCCCCCTAACTCAGTCAAAAGCCCCCTAAACTCAGCCAAAACCCCCTAAACTCAGCCAAAAGCCCCCTAAACTCAGCCAAAACCCCCCTAAACTCAGACCAAAACCCCCCTAAACTCAGCCAAAAGCCCCCTAAACTCAGCCAAAACCCTCTCAAAACTCAGTCAAAAACCCCCTAAACTCAGTCAAACCCCTCTAAACTCAGTCAAAACCCTCTAAACTCAGTCAAAACCCTCTAAACTCAGTCAAAACCCTCTCTAAACTCAGTCAAAACCCTCTAAACTCAGTCAAAACCCTCTCTAAACTCAGTCAAAACCCTCTCTAAACTCAGTCAAAACCCTCTAAACTCAGTCAAAACCCCCCTAAACTCAGCCAAAACCCCCTAAACTCAGCCAAAACCCCCCTAAACTCAGCCAAAACCCCCTAAACTCAGCCAAAACCCCCTAAACTCAGCCAAAACCCCCTAAACTCAGCCAAAACCCCCTAAACTCAGCCCAAAACCCCCCTAAACTCAGCCAAAACCCCCTAAACTCAGCCAAAACCCCCTAAACTCAGCCAAAACCCCCCTAAACTCAGCCAAACCCCCTAAACTCAGCCAAAACCCCCTAAACTCAGCCAAAACCCCCCTAAACTCAGCCAAAAGCCCCCTAAACTCAGCCAAAACCCCCTAAACTCAGCCAAAACCCTCTCTAAACTCAGCCAAAACCCCCTAAACTCAGCCAAAACCCCCTAAACTCAGCCAAAACCCCCCTAAACTCAGCCAAAACCCCCTAAACTCAGCCAAAACCCCCCTAAACTCAGCCAAACCCCCTCCCCAAAACTCAGCTAAAAACCCCCCTAAACTCAGCCAAAAACCCCCTAAACTCAGCCAAAACCCTCTCTAAACTCAGCCAAAACCCTCTAAACTCAGCCAAAACCCTCTCTAAACTCAGCCAAAACCCTCTAAACTCAGCCAAAACCCTCTAAACTCAGCCAAAACCCTCCCTAAACTCAGCCAAAACCCCCTAAACTCAGCCAAAAACCCCCTAAACTCAGCCAAAACCCCCTAAACTCAGCCAAAAACCCCTAAACTCAGCCAAAACCCCCTAAACTCAGCCAAAACCCCCCTAAACTCAGCCAAAACCCCCTAAACTCAGCCAAAAACCCCCTAAACTCAGCCAAAACCCCCTAAACTCAGCCAAAACCCTCTAAACTCAGCCAAAACCCTCTAAACTCAGTCAAAACCCTCTCTAAACTCAGCCAAAACCCCCCTAAACTCAGCCAAAACCCCCCTAAACTCAGCCAAAACCCCCCTAAACTCAGCCCAAAACCCCCTAAACTCAGCCAAAACCCCCTAAACTCAGCCAAAACCCCCTAAACTCAGCCAAAACCCCCCTAAACTCAGCCAAAACCCCCTAAACTCAGCCAAAACCCCCTAAACTCAGCCAAAACCCCCCAAATCAGCCAAAACCCCTAAACTCAGCCAAAACCCCCCTAAACTCAGCCAAAACCCCCTAAACTCAGCCAAAAGCCCCCTAAACTCAGCCAAAACCCCCTAAACTCAGCCAAAACCCCCTAAACTCAGCCAAAAGCCCCCTAAACTCAGCCAAAACCCCCCTAAACTCAGCCAAAACCCCCCTAAACTCAGCCAAAACCCCCCTAAACTCAGCCAAAAGCCCCTAAACTCAGCCAAAACCCCCCTAAACTCAGCCAAAACCCCCCTAAACTCAGCCAAAACCCCTAAACTCAGCCAAAACCCCCTAAACTCAGCCAAAACCCCCCTAAACTCAGCCAAAACCCCCCTAAACTCAGCCAAAACCCCCCTAAACTCAGCCAAAACCCCCCTAAACTCAGCCAAACCCCCCTAAACTCAGCCAAACCCCCCTAAACTCAGCAAAAAACCCCCCTATAACTCAGCCAAAACCTCCCTAAACTCAGCCAAAACCCCCTAAACTCAGCCAAACCCCCCTAAACTCAGCCAAAACCCCCTAAACTCAGCCAAAATCCCCCTAAACTCAGCCAAAACCCCCTAAACTCAGCTAGAAACCCCCCTAAACTCAGCCCAAACCCCCCCTAAACTCAGCCAAAACCCCCCTAAACTCAGCCAAAACCCCCCTAAACTCAGCCAAACCCCCCTAAACTCAGCCAAAAACCCCCCTAAACTCAGCCAAAACCCCCTAAACTCAGCCAAAACCCCCCTAAACTCAGCCAAAACCCCCCTAAACTCAGCCAAAATCCCCCTAAACTCAGCCAAAACCTCCCTAAACTCAGCCAAAACCCCCCTAAACTCAGCCAAAACCCTCTAAACTCAGTCAAAACCCCTCTAAACTCAGCCAAAACCCTCTCTAAACTCAGTCAAAACCCCCTAAACTCAGCCAAAACCCCCCCTAAACTCAGCCAAAACCCCCCCTAAACTCAGCCAAAACCCCCCTAAAACTCAGCCAAAACCCCCCTAAACTCAGCCAAAACCCCCTAAACTCTGCCAAAACCCCCCTAAACTCAGCCCAAAAACCCCTAAACTCAGCCAAAAGCCCCCTAAACTCAGCCAAAACCCCCCAAAACTCACCCAAAAGCCCCCTACAACTCAGCCAAAACCCCCCTAAACTCAGCCAAAACCCCTCTAAACTCAGCCAAAACCCCCTAAACTCAGCCAAAAGCCCCCTAAACTCAGCCAAACCGCCAAACTCAGCCCCCAAAACCGCCCTAAACTCAGCCAAAACCCCCCTAACTCAGCCAAAACCCCCCTAAACTCAGCCAAAACGCCCCTAAACTCAGCCAAAACCCCCTAAACTCAGCCAAAAGCCCCCTAAACTCAGCCAAAAGCCCCCCTAAACTCAGCCAAAAGCCCCCTAAACTCAGCCAAAACCCCCCTAAACTCAGCCAAAACCGCCCTAAACTCAGCCAAAACCGCCCTAAACTCAGCCAAAACCCCCCTAAACTCAGCCAAAAGCCCCTAAACTCAGCCAAAAGCCCCCTAAACTCAGCCAAAACCCCCCTAAACTCAGCCAAAAGCCCCCTAAACTCAGCCAAAACCCCCCTAAACT